GTGAATCTATCTTGAATTGCCAAGATCTCAAATCAACTTTCATTTGGTTCTGTGTTTTCTTTTTCATTTCAGTATAAATTATTTACTCGGTTTGATTTTGCTTAGTTCAGTTTGGGTATTTGGTCACTACATAGGATCTTTGAAATGGAAGATCTTTGTATCCAAACAGCTGTGAATTAAATTGAGACACAGGGATACATGAATGTTATTGTACACACAAACAGAAAGATCGATTCATGCGATAAATCTCAAGTGTTATTTCGAACATTGAGATGACTTGGAATGGGAATTTAGCTTTCTATGAACTCTTGTTTTTGCCGTATATATCTTCAAAACCATCAGCTACTCTTTTCCTTCTTTCAGCAATCATTTCTGAATACGACTGAAACCCAAAGAACACAAAACCATCAGACCTCAGAAGCAAGACCAACATTTGTTCGAAAGTCAAGGACTTTGGATGAAGAATAAGATATGTACTTTTTATCAGACTTGAGTTAAAGCTACAAACAGTTATCAGATTCAATTGGCCTGTGATGAAGAAGCAGAAAATCATACCTTTGGGTAGCTATAAAGGAAAATGTACCACCAAGCGCCAATTAAACCAACCGTAAGCGATGAAACTAAGACCGAATGTAGTATTGCCCAGCTACATGCTACGATTGATAGACCCGTTAACATTATCGTCCATGGCTGACACCTGAGAAATATACCCATTGCTTATTAAAACCCCATCTCAAGAAAAGGAAGAACCGTAAGCTCGAAAAATGTCTACTGAGAACCGGAAAATGCTTCTTTGCAAATAGATATCAAAAGGTTACTAATCGAAGCTGTAGTTTCTGAGGTGAATGTTAAAGCTTACAAAGATTCAAACTTAGTCCTTCTATCTTCTAAAAAAGAGTGAAGAACCAAAATCCAGATTATAAACTTGCAATTGAGTTATACATGTTTTAGTATCAGCAATTCAATAAATTGTGAGATTCATAGCATTCAAACAAGTTTCTGGATAAGCATAAATCACTGAAACAGCTGATAAGATTTCAAGGGTTAGTTCACTAAGAAGTGAATTTAGACTCTATGAACAAACTCAATCTAAGCTCTAATCCATATTCAGACAACTACGGTTCCTCAAGAGTCTCAAGACTAAATCCAAACCAAATCGATCATTACATATGAGGCAATCAAAAAGTGATTTGGAAATTTGATTGAGATTTACCAGTAGGGTTTAGTGTCCCAGACAGAGTCGTATTCGAGAGAAAGATGATCTAAGTAACCTTCCATGTCATCAACCACGCCATTTTCATCGACGAATCTCGAATCTTTCTGCTCTCTCCGATTCCCGCCCAAACCTCCAATTTTCGTGCAAATCCTTGTCGGTTTTAGACTAAACAAGTTGAGTTTTGTCCGATAACTGACATTTGTAAGGTATATCTGTGTCTGAGGCCGAAACGGCGACAAAGCCACGACGGAGACGGAGAGACTTCCCATCTGAAGACGATAAGGATAGAGATTAGCGAAGGACTCAATTGAATCTAACTAAAATTTGGGTGCTTTATATAAATTAAATGTTTTTTGGTGGTGAATGATGATATAAAAGAAACGCTTCGATCATTTTTTTACTGGGCCTAGTGATGGCCCAAATAAGAAAGAAGGCGCATATATTAGACCCAAAGCCCTAACTTTTGCAATCGTTCGATAAGATTTTGTTTTCTTCTTTGTCATCGTTGTCGGAGGAGTGAATTAGGGATCGAGAATGACGATGAACTCGCTTCCGAGGAGATTTGGGAAGAATCAAGGCTATTTGGATCGAGATTATCGAAACGGAAGAAGATCTGATTCAGATTCCGATGAAGAGTTGAAAGGATTGAGTCACGAGGAGTATAGGAGGAGTAAACGGCTTAAGCTGAGGAAATCGGGGAGGTTTTGCTTTTGGGAGAACACGCCGAGTCCACCTAGAGATCCGAACCATGATTCCGATGAGAACTCCGAAGAGAATCCGGATCGGAACGGTGTTGAAAGAGATGATAATCCGAAAGGGA